TACCCTGATACCATTAACTGGACCCCATCCTCGCCTGAATTCAATAGAGCATCTCTGGGACATCATGTTTCTGTCCATCCGATGTTGCCTCCAATCCAGGAGCTCAGTGATGCACTGGTTCACATCTAAGAAGATATCAACCAGTACACCATCTATCGTCTCATTATGGTTAATTCCTCAATGTTGTCAGTCATGAATGCAAGCATGTAGGGGCCCATACAAAAAACTCTCTACCTGTGTTTCAGCATGATTTTTTCCCCAGTTAAGATCTGATGTGTTTTCAAAGTGTTATTAAATGTTTTTATATTTTGAAAAGTGTGTTACACTAAGGTCTTTGGTTCTCAATTAAACTGAGGGTAAACAGATAAGCCCTTAAAGAAGAATGGCTAGCAAACATCCTTCTCTGATCAAAGCACCATTATTATATCATTGCGATTCCAAACATTTTTGAGTAAACATTGCAGGGGGTTTCGAGGTGATTTATTACACTCGTGCTTTACCTGCAGTAACAGGTTGTAATTATGAGACAATTAAACTATAGACTTATTAGTTTTAGTCTCTAGCCACTTTATCATATTCAGTTAAAATAAATATAGAAAAATATAATATCACCTTGCTGGGAGTCTTGAGAGGGGAAATGGCAATCTTTTTGCCAGGGATACTTTGTAAATTAGTGTTGTGGGGCTCAGAGAGAGTAATGGTCCTCGGGGGCATCACTGGTGAACTCTGGGTCAGAACCCGTCCTATGAACAGACAGTGCAAGGTTTAATGACAAAGCTAATTACAACATAATTAGAAAACAAACAGCAATAAACTATGTGGCTTGATAATTATTTAAAAACTGAAACAAAAAATAGCCTCAAAAAGTTATTACTTAGACTTACCTGTGATCACAGGAGGCATTGATGTCTGGGCACTTATACCTTTGCTGTTAACAGTTTTTGTGATGATAAACTTGATCGGTGCAGCTGAGGATGCTGGTGTCTTCTTGGCAATCTGAAAAGACAATTAGCCAGAAATGTTTAAACGTATTCATTCAATATCCAAACATTGCCTCTTTCTGCAGATGACGACTACTGGCGTGTCCTAGCTTGGTCAGTTCTGTTGCATTTTCATTTACTGATACTGATGTTGATACCTGAGCTCTAGTTGTACAACTTAATTGATACTGGATTTATGAGGGTGATAACTGAATTTATATTCGTAGGGAAAAAGGTCATCAGTGATATAGTAAGATTACATACTGAGCTAGTCAATGTGCAGTATTAAGACAATTCTTTGTCAGTGCTCTGATATAGCAACTGTGAAATTATGACACTTTTTTTTTTTTCAATGTACACACAATATCAGCACTTCTGCAACATGACTTTATGCAGCCAGACAGGCCAGCTGAGGTATTCATTTCACAGCAACATCGGTGGCTTTTTTTTAAAAAAAAACAAAAACAACATATTTAAATCTGAATATCTTACTGGGGGTAAATTATTGCAATCATTCTCCTACATGTAAGATAAAAAGAGGATATACCTTTCCTTCTCTTCTGAACTATGATTTTAGACAAAAATATTATTTTTATGCTTGTTAAGATGATCTGACTTCAGTTCTTAAATAAATAGCGCACTAATAATGTTCATCTAAACCCTGAGAGTGAGTGTACTTGTTTCCCTACAAATTTTTAAATTATTTAAGAAGATAAAAACTCCCAACAAACATGCCCGAGTGTATATGCTTGCTCCACCCCTTATACACTAGGGGTGGGGGAAAAAAATTGATACTGTGTAGTATCGTGATATTTTGTTTGCAAATAATGTATCGATACAGGGACAGCAGAAATCGATATTTTGTTACAAAAAAAGTTTTTGTGGACTGGAACATGCTCTGACTTCAGAGCATGTTGATCCTTTTTCTGAGCAAGAATCCTGACATTCCTTCACTGTCCAAATGTGTTAAACTTTTTTTATGGCAGCAATAAACATGACAGTTTACTTATTTTCATTTAAGACGTGTTTTATTTTAATTAAGTTTAAAACTTTTTTATTTAATGTAAAATTATATTTTGTTATAATTTACTTTCAAATTCTTCAGTTGCTGAAAAGGCTGCATAGTTTTCACAAATTTCATATTTCAGAATAGCTATAATTGTACCAGATGGTTGCATTCAGTTAAGTTGGACTAGACTGTAATACAAACCGTTCAGTTTGTCAACAACAAAACTGAAATGAGACAAAGACTGAGTGTGAGACTTTGTTATTAGATAAAATGAATATTGATAAAGTTTACCTTTATGTACAGAATCTGAATAACGCAAAATATTTTAAAAAATTGCAATAATATCGTATCGTGCGTTAAGTATTGTGATAATATCGTATCGTGATAATATCGTATCGTGGGATGTATGGTGATTCCCACCTCTATTATACACAGAGTGAAGCAGTCACTGGTAACAATTTTTAATCCAAATATGAGAACTGCTCATTTAAACAACGTCCAGACAGGCGAAGAACAGTTGAATGGGGAGATTTACCAATTTGTTTGTAACCTGTAATGTAAACCTGTTACGTCTGTACTTTATGAGTCAGACAAATCCCACCCCCTCCCAAGAGGTTTTAACCAGATCCTAACAAAAAATACCCTGGAATTACAAATCTAAACACCAAGGAATCTTTACATTGCACATTCAAACTACATGGCTGAACCTCTTAATCTTCACCCAAGTGGTTCTCTCTCTATGCTTCTTTTTTTTTTTTAACCTTCTCTTCCCTTCATCTCCCAACCAGTCAAAGCCCATGTTAGGCTTTCCATGAGCCTGGTTCTACCAGCAGGTTCTTTCTATTCAGAAAAAGACTTTCTACTTTACCATCGTCATGTGCTAAGTGATCATCATGTCATCAGGATTCTCTCAATAATGCTGTAGAAGCCTTTAACTTGCAATAGAAAGTCCCTTGAGGTGACTGGAATTGTATAAATAACATTTAATTGAGCTCTGTGCGTTATAGTTCCACACTAGATTTCTAGTGGTTCTAGTGGTTACTGAGACACAGTCCCACTCCATCTTCTCTGAAACACCAAACTGTACTTAGTACACTGTTGTTAGCTTACATTTACTGGCAGCCTAGATCAAGGTCAAAGCAGATCTTATCTAATAGCTTGAAAAACTTTGTACACAGTATGTTCAGTTGATATCGAAGCAATCATTTACAGTAGTAATTATGTTTAATTTAACAGTAACATGTGGAACATGACAAGCAATATTTTTGTAAAAATGTATTAATAATACAAAAGGTTATTGTTACCTGGACAGTCTTCAGCTGCTGGGTCTGTAATGTGGTCACCTGGTTGCCCACCACTGGCTTCAGGTCTGACCTCCCACCTATAGTCACCACTTTAAACTGCGGAGCTTGAGACTTGGTGTCTCCGGCAGTCTGTGAAATGCCAGGCTTGCTGCCTGTGTGGGGTAACTGAAGCACTATAGGCTGCCCCGATTTTCCTATAGCTGTAACCAAAAGTTTCTGTCCATCCTGCTTGATGACCTGGGGTGGATTACCTGCAGACTTTGCTGCTTCTGAGGCTTGAGAAACCACCTTATTGAGAATAATCTGGCGATTTGCAGGAGAGATTGTAAATGGAGTTGTGAGCTTCTGTAATCCACTTGTAGTCACACTAGTTCCAGTAACACTGTCTGTGGTTTTGGTTGTGGCTGTCGAAGTAGCCAAGGCTGGTTTGATGGTAAGAAGAGGAGACGATGTGCTGGAATTTGAGACAGGAGGTGGACTTCTGGGGCTGGCACTAAGCATGGAGTCTGTGGCCGTGGAGGTGGTCATAGCCTTAGTGGGTTCGGTTAACGCGGCATCTGAACAGAGGCTCACGTTCTCTGAAGCCACGGGTGTATCAGTTTCCATTGGGACCGATGCATCATCACTGGGCTCTGAGTGGACTGCAGTGGTGCCAGGTTGAGAGTGAGGAACATCCTCTATATCCTCAGTATCCATGATCTCATCTGGGAGGAGGCTGTTGAGCTCTGGTGACACTACATCCATGCTTGCAAACTCTCAGCTTTCCGTTAATCCTGAAAAACCAATACAATTTAATTGTCATTGCAAAATACATCACAAACACCAGTAAGCCACAACATTAACACCAATGTCAGCTTAACTTATAATACAGGCACACATGTTCAAACTTCAGCAGGTCAAATCTGTTTTACTGGCTATTATATTAGGCATAAGGGTTTTCTGTTGTATTTGATCACTTTTATATTATTTGAAAGACCTAGAAGCTTACATTTACTGCACTAGATGCACCATGAACAGGGAGAGACAGACAAAGATAATACAATTTTAAAATTCTGAGGATATACATTCATCATTTTAGAGAGCTGTTGCATTTAATTGCAGTCAGTGTTTGCAATTCATTTAAAAAATGTATTCCTCTACTCATTTATACAATATACATAACTGGATTATAATACAGACAGACAGCTAAAAGCTGTGCTGAGAATATAGAGCAAGATAGTTCAAGCTAGCGAGCTAGCCATGTAGGTGCAGTAGAAGTGCCAGATTGTCATAACTTTACTTGTAAATGACTTCAGTAATTACGTGAGATGTAATAAATAAAGAGATGGGCATGAGTAACGTTTGACTTGTGCTGATTTTGACTGAAGCAGACAGCTGATGCTAGGCCGCAACGATCATCTCTGCCGTATCTTTGTCCTGCTGCACTCTACTCAACATTAATCCACCGAAACGCACATATGAACCCTACCCACTCCATACCACATTCACACGCAGAGCTGACTGAGCTGAATCTCTTCACGTCCCCAGGTGAAAGCCATCAAAAGACAACTGTGCTGAGTTGCACTCGTTTATTTTAAAAATGCCCAGAAGTGGTCCTGACTGGGGCAAAGAGCGAGAAAAAAAGCGACAAGCAGTTTTGCTGGCTGCGTTACTATTTCAGGCCGGGGTTGGATTTCGAAAGATCCGCCATTTTTACCTCGTCATCAGCTTAGTTAGCTGCCCGGCTAACGCTAAGCTATGCTGAGGGGAAGCGTTTATAAATATTGGTAACAAGCAGAGACACTTACACTGACAGTTCACTGCAAAACAAGCATAACTAAACAATCGCTGAAAATAAGACTTGATGTTAACAGGGTGCTGCTAGCGAGTAAAAAAAAACCCCACAAATAACAACAACAAAACTCTGCAGACTCTGACAACGTAAACAATGCTTGTTTTCAATAATTTCTCCTGTCACTTGACATAGGAGGAAATACAACATTTTAATTCCACAATGCAATTATTGCGATTGCGATTATAGATCTCCTTAACAGCATTTACAGTCTCTGTTTTAGGGCTGGAGTTAGCGTGGCCTAACCAGTTCAAAATGATGTTTTAGTTTAACCTCAAGAAAGTCATATTTTGACTGAGATATAGTCTGAGAATGAACCAGAAAAGCGTAAATTCCAAGAATGTTACGGGTCAACAGCTAAAGTAATATGAAACCATCTAACAGCAAATGCAACTGCTGACTTGTGCCTTCTAATATTTGACATACATATAAAAATATTTATGATCCTTCAGACGTTTCGCCAGTATGTCAAAACAACTCGATGTGCAGCTAACTTAGCTTTTACTTTTCATTTGCCGTTGCAGTAAGTAAACTTAGCGGCCGGCTCACATGATATTTACACCATGTTATTAAAGTCCCTGCTTTGTGCACGAGAAACTTTCCTTCAGCGCTGAAAATACTCTGCCAAACCAAATCCTGTGAATATTATGCTGCTTTTTCACCAGAGTGTATCCTTAAATATCGTTATCATCAAAGACAGCAAAGACAGCAACAGCAGTCTCATCTAGACAGCCCAGCGGGCAGAACAACTGTACTAGCAAACTTGCTGAGCTTGCTAACCCGAGCTAGCTAGCACAACATTATATCTCAACATTGAATACATTCTTTAATGTGAGTCTTTATGTTGAATATAGTGTGTTAAATCCTAGAAAGGGCCATTGCATAGTCATGCTTACCCCAAAATTTTAAGCTAAGCAGCGTTTCCAGATAAAAGGGAGGAAAGGAAAAGACGATTGTTCAAAATACCGCGCCGAGCGCCATTCCTCCCTGACATTTCACAGGCCGGCCACGCCCTCCATGCGATACGAAAGACTGACGTAACACTTAAAGCTACAGCACAATTGCATTATCAAAGTTATGACTGTTTCTACAAAACTATTTAATGCTTTTTCTTCTTCTTCTTTTTTTTACAAAATATTTTTTTTGAAAATAAAAACTATTATTAGTTAATAAAAAACAAACAACACAGTCAGCCTTGGAGCTCGTGTGCTGGATATTTACCGAAATCTGACAGAGCACTACCCAGTAGCCTCATTAAGTGCCCAGTCTCACATACCACTGTCAGGTAGTCAGTAAATAATAAGATGGTGGACATGTTTACTTACATGTCCTGTAGTTTCTCTTACTGTAAGAGTGGTAAAACACATGACACATTACTGCCAAGATGGGAGTAAAATGTCTTCAGCAGGGAGATTACTGCATGATTAACTCCCAGATTTGAGCTGCTTGCATACTACAGAGTGTCAAGAGATGTTTTCGCCTAAGGTCTTAAGTAGGCCAGCGTAGTCTCTCCAGTGCATTCATCATAAGTGACATGAGGTCCAATTGATAGTCATTAAGCTCTTATGGTGCTGACTTTTTCTTGAACAAAAGTCGATACATCGGACATTTCTTTATGTATTTTGCATATACTTATACACTTTTTGACTGATGTTGAATATAGATATTTAGTTTTTAACTGATACCACTTGTATATAACTTGACCTCTGGTGTTGTATCTATTTTATTACTATTACTATTATTCAACATTATTTAGTTAGGCTATATATTTTAGTTATATTTTACTTAAACTTTACACATACTTTTGACTGGTTTGATAAAAATGTCAGCTCAATTCAATTTTATTTACATAGCATTTAAAACGTAATAAAAAGAAAACCCAGACAGTCAAATTAATCCCTAAGAACAAACACTTGGAAACAGTGGAAAGGAAAAACTCCTTTTTAACAGGAAGAACGTGCCAGAGGGTACAGGGGCAGCCATCCACTACAACTGGTTTGGAGTGTGGGGAAAGAGAAGAGAGCAGAGAGAGAGACAAGGCAAAAGACATGCTGTGGAAGTCCACCAGAGATTAGCTGTAACTAATGATTATATGGAAAGTGGTGTATAAATACACAGAAAGTAAGAAGAAGTAAGTGATGAAGAAATGCTATTCATAAAAGTAGAGAGGGTGTCTGTCTCCTGAATGCAATCTGGTAGCTGGTTTCTCAGAAGAGGGGCCTGAAAGCTGAAGGCTCTGCTTTCCATTTTACTTATAAATGCTCTAGGAAACACAAGTAAGCCAGCAACTTGTGCGCAAAATTCTTTGTTAGGGTGATATGGTATTATGAGGTCTTTAAGATAAGATAGGGCCTGATTATTCAAGACCTTGTATGTGAGGTGTAGAATTTAAATGGGATTCTGGGTTTAACAGGGAGCCAGTGAAGGAGAAAAAGGCTTTCTAGTCCCAGTCAGTACTGTTACTGTAGCATTCTGGATCAATTAAAGGCTTTTCAGGGAGCTTTTAGAACAACCTGATAATAATGCTTTACAACAGCCCAGCCTAGATGCATTAAATACAGAATCTAGTTGTTCAGCATGTCTGTGAGACAGGATATTTTATTGCGCAAAAACAAGAAAGCCCTTCATATTTCAGATGATACTAGTGTTAACAATAGATTGACCCTTTTTTAGGTTAATTACAAAATTAGCAGAAAAAATGTAACCAAATATAGCTATGATTGTTTTCAGGAAAGGGATGGATAGTTTATAATACTCACCAAATTATGTTTAAAAACATATATTATTGCTTAAAATTAAAACAATAAACAAGCAATACAATAGTTCAACATTTAAGTCTGGCCTAAAATAATTATAATCATTCTTTTCCCTCTTCCGCTCCCATTGCTGACTGCGTCACTTCCTGGCCGAGCTCTGCGCTCTGACTGCAGACGGAAGGCTCTCCCCTGTCTCAGAGGAAACCGGTGTTGACACTTCGACGCAGGCTACAATGGCGACCGAAGTGAGGCAGGAGCTTACACAACTGATGAACTCAAGTGGATCTCATAAAGATCTTGCTGCCAAGTATGTAACGTTAGTTACGGAGAACATTACTCGTTAAAAACTGCAACAGAAACTGCTAGCTAGCAGCTGGTCTGCACAAAGCTAAGCTAACGTTAGCTGCATTAGCCATACATCCAGATAGTAATGCAATCAGTCTGTCAATGTTTGCTTTTAGGTTTTATCCAAAGTGCAAGGAACATAAAAGGAGTGACTACCCACATTAATTGTTGGTAAAATAATTATGAGAACTGTATATTTTATCACCCAAGCTAACTAGCTAACTTGCTGCTCTTTAGCTACATATTTGGTGCAGAGCACAACATAGCTTTAATACAGTTTGAACAAAGTGATACTTGACTAGAAAATTGCCAGGACACCCTTTGCGTACGTTCTTACCATCCTATAAACAACCATTTTATTAGGAAAACCTGTGCATTTTATTAAGTACAACTGTGCTGTCTACTTTTGCAATTTCAGTTTTCGTCAGCATTGTCCAAAAGGTGATAAATCTATTTAAAAATCTTTTAGGTCCTGTTTGTATAAGAAGAAAGTGTTTACTGTATTTTTATCCACATAAAGCTGATGGTTAATTAAAGTGAAAATATTTAAATAGCTGTTTAATAAAGAGAGGTTTAATTCACTCAAGCTTAAATACACTTGTTTTTCACAGAAGTCACAATCAAATGCATCAACTTCTCTTAAGTAAGGGACCACAGACTGATTGCTGTAATTATATGTGAACTGGTGTTTATGTGCATAGTTCTGTTATGTTCACAGCACTTTAGTGACATGTCGATTACAGATTTACTCATGAAATGATATTTCCTCAATGGATTGGGTACTTTTTTTGGTACTCATTTCAAAATATTAAATTCAAAATTTCCTCTCACAGAATAAGTCCATACTTCTCAGTTTGTACATTTTGTTATTTATTTACGTTTTAGTTGTGTCACAGTGTCATCATAGTATCTGTGATGTTCTGTCATAGTGTTCTACAATATTAAATATTAATTGTAGACTGTTATAGGTTGTGACACAACATCTGTTAGATGGTGCAGTTGACAAATGACTGTTCAGTCTTTTACAACCAAGCAGTCAGGGGTTTTTTTTAAATTATTTTTTTAATTCATAATAATATATGATGTTTGTTATATCATAAGGGAATACACTATACATGGGATTATGCAATTTCTTCCACAGATTTACAATTTGTTTCCAGTGAGGGAGGGTTTTAGATGTGCTTTAACAATAAATAATTGATGAATATAAATATTATTGGCTGCTTCATCAGTGAGTCTCTTATACTGCAAATGACTTTTAGTTACGTCATCCTGGAGATTATTTGGGTGTCAGCAGGCCTTGTTCTGCTCTGTAGCCTTAGTGAGCTCATTGTAGCATCACATGGGCAGCCATTAATATACCTTGCCAAAGTAAAGTTAATCTGTGGGAAAAACACTGGGTTTCATCCAATAAGTTAAAATGTATTTGTGTTTCATATTTAAGTTTTAATCCTTCGATTTTCTATGTAAACATTTTAAACTTACCAGCAAAGTTGGAAGGTTTCTGACCGGTGAAATCTTTTGCAGATATCGACAAATTCTGGAAAAGGCCATTCAGTTTACAGATGCTGATCAACTGGAATCCTTGAAGGCCTTTGTAGAAGCAAGTATGGTGTGCCTGTATTCTTCTGTAATATCTGCTTATTCTACGTCCTTGGTTCATTTTTCAGGAGCATGTCTTACTATTATATTTTACATTCTTGCAGTGGTCAATGAAAATGTCAGTCTCGTCATTTCAAGACAGCTGCTCACTGATTTCTGCACACATCTGCCCAACTTGCCTGACGCCACAGCAAAAGCAGTGTATCACTTCACCTTGGAAAAGATCCAGCCGAGGGTCATTTCCTTCGAGGAACAGGTAAATTTGCTCCAGCTCTCTGACGCAGTGCAAATGGAGGTAACCATTCAGGCAGTTAAGCTTGAGTATTGTCACTGCAGCGCTTAACTGAGTAATGTTCCTCCATCGCCTTAGGTAGCCTCAATCAGACAGCACTTAGCGACCATTTATGAAAAGGAGGGAGACTGGAGAAATGCTGCCCAAGTTTTAGTTGGCATTCCCCTCGAAACAGGACAGAAGTAAGTAAACTATTGTCACACGCAAGTCTTGATGGTAATTGTGTCTTTAAATCCCTGTTTCTTTTGTTTGTTTTTTTTTAAATATCCCCTTCAGGCAATATAATGTTGACTATAAGTTGGATACATATCTGAAAATTGCCCGACTTTACTTAGAAGATGATGATCCGGTTCAGGCAGAGGCCTACATCAACAGAGCCTCATTGCTTCAGAATGAGTCCTCTAATGAACAGCTACAGATACACTATAAGGTACATGATCTCTTAGTGATTTCATAGTTACATAGTCTTATCTGTTGTTTCAGTGAAGCTGTGTGGATAAGTGCTTATGCTGCTCTCATTAGGTGTGCTATGCCAGAGTACTAGACTTCAGAAGGAAGTTTATTGAAGCTGCACAAAGATACAACGAACTGTCTTATAAGTCAATTGTTCATGAAAGTGAACGCCTGGAGGCACTGAAGCATGCTCTGAACTGCACCATATTGGCCTCTGCAGGTATAAGCAGGTGTTACATTTTCAGAAATAATGTAATGAGAACTAATGGAAAACATATAAAGGCATACTACTGATTTGCGGTTTTCACACTCTTAACCAAAAATGGTGCAATTTTTTTTTAGGACAGCAACGTTCCCGTATGTTGGCTACTCTCTTTAAGGATGAGCGCTGTCAGCAGCTGGCTGCTTATGGTATCCTGGAGAAGATGTACTTGGACCGCATCATTAGAGGTAACCAACTGCAGGAGTTTGCTGCCATGCTGATGCCTCACCAGAAAGCCACCACAGCAGATGGTAAGCTGATATACTGGGTTTTACACAGTGAGAGAAATCCTTATTTTCTCCACCCTC